AGGCCATTTTCTTATATCTATCTAATATTTTCAAATAAAAATAGAAAAGAAAATTGTTTTCTTCATACATATATTTGGGTATCAGAAGTTTTTTTTTTTTTTTTAATTTTTTTCTTTTGGCCAGGAGTCAAGGTCTCTTATAACGTACCCTAAAGTACATTGATTTTACAATGTGCTTAATATAATTATTACTTGTTGTAATGGCTGATACATTGTATCAACTTGCAAAGTCTAGAAGTTTAGCCAAGTAACTCAGCAGCTCTGCATCCTTGGGGGTGGAGGCCGCGCCTCATTCTCTAGGAAGCTGATCACTGTGTTAACTGGAGAAGTTCAGAAGGGGCCAGAGTCCTCACTTTGTAAACACTGGGAGCCTCCGCAAGAGCAGGGCACGGAGAGGGTGTCTGTCATGCTGCAGCCCCCCAATGGCAGATGGCAGCTTACAATAAGAGAGAGAACGAGAGGCCAGGGCCCCCTCAGCTCTTGTTGCTTTTACTGTCTTCTGCTGCCTTAAATTGTCGCCATGTGCCATGCCACCCTGCCTTGGAACCAGTTGATTATGGACTGAAACCGCCACCAACTGAGAGCGAAATAAACTTGTCCTCCTTTAACTTTGGACATCAGGTATTTTTGTCTCAGGAGTGAGAGAATAGTAACTAACACACCTGTAGATGCCAAGGGACGCCTTGTGTATAATCAGTTCCAGGCTTTTTACAGGGCTGCCCATGGAAATGCTATCAAAGAGCTAAAGAATCTGGAATTAATAACCTTGCAGCATTATAACCAATATGTAGTCCTGATATTTTGTTCTTTAATATATCAAGTATATTTCATTGCCAACATAATAGCAGCAGATTGAAAACATCTGCTCCACTGCCACCAGGTCCCCAGAAGCAGACATCTCAGCTTATTTCCCACAGGCTTGAATGCACTGGGCTACGATTACACTCCCAGAACTGAATACGGGGAGAGCCTTGGAAGTGGAAAACGTCCTTTCTTAGCAAAGATTGGAGCACTACTAGCCTCTGCCTGCTTGTTCCCTTCTCTCTCTGCTACTGTCCCCACCCTCCCCAATTTAATAACTTGTTTCCTTCCTCTGTCCTCTCCCTTCCTCTTTTTACAGCTCCGTCACCTGTCATGACAATTAAGAAAGACCGGACCTCCAGAAGCACCATCGCTCTATCCTGGCAAGAGCCTGAACACCCTAATGGGATCATTTTGGACTACGAGGTCAAATATTATGAGAAGGTAGGGAAACAAGCTTGTGTTACAAGGGAAACAAGCTTGTGTTACAAGCTTGTGGTGTACAAGGCCAAGGCTTGATTTTCTTGTGGGCTGTGCTCTTGCAAAGAAACCAGGGATGTAGCTAATAAGCTCCTAGAGTTCTTTTGTGAACCACAGTCTAGTGATCACTGACTTACAGGCATAGTGGGGTATAGAAATTGTGTTGTCAGATGCCCTCTATTCTGCAGCAATGAGCAGCATCAAAGATGCCACTTTCAAATGAAGCCAGTTAATTAGGACAACAGACCACACATGTGTGTCCTTTCACTCATGACCAACAATTTTAGAGTGAGTTCTCAATGTGTTCATGAACTACCATTGGTTCAAGCAGAACTTTCTGACCATATTCACATTAATTTCATTTAACACAGGAAAATTGGCATCAATTACAAAGGCATTGTGTTACAGAACTAATAAAGAAATGCATTCTTGGCTGTGTAGAGGGAAATTTAGAAGTTGAGGGTGGACAGATGAATTTGTCTCACATTATAAAACTGTAGTTCAATAGTGACATTATTAAAATGAGCACATGACTACTCATAGAATTCAGAAAGTGACAGTTCATCATTCTAATGCTTATTTCCACCTTTTAAATTATAAGAAAGTTTGAGACTAACATATATTTCACCTTTATCATCAGGTATGTTTCCTTTTATAGTTACTCATGTGAATAGAATACATTTGTGTATCTGCCACTGTTTATGAAATATTTTAAAGTAAATTACAAGCAAGTAGTATAGCAGTTCACGTTATAGAATATTTCTGCATATATTATTTAAATATGTGTGGCGTGATAATCCTGAGAAACTTGGTAAATAGATTCCTTCAGAAACAAGAAAATTGAGAGACATTGACCTTGGTTGCATTTCCCATCACCTCACTGCCAATAAACATGAGGTTTCTGCTTCGACGCTGGCACCCCTGGCTTCACGTGTAGTCTGTGCGTGCACCCCACACTGGGGGCCTCCTCCACCCCAGAGCGGATCGCTGGAAGCACAGGGTGCGTGATTGGTCACGCCGCCAAACGGCGGAAAGCATCATTTTGCATGAAGTCGTTCATCCCTTTGTTGAAGTTAATGTATTTCTCCAGTATGACTTCATTTTTTTTAATGCTTCTAGCTACTGAGAAAAATGTCTCTTTTTTCATTAAAAGGAAATAAAGTCCAGATAAATTTAATGGTGCCAAAATCACAGTAAGGCTAGGTTTTCTTGTAGCCAAATGTTTATCTGACTGCAATTTTTCTTTTTAAAAGATTTACCAATGTACTGTGCAGGTTTAAGACTCTTTGTTGTATTAAAGACCGAACAAAATACAAAGAAAATTAATTTTATACTTCAAACTAGATTGAAGAACAAGGAGAGAAATAACTTCAGATTTGTGAGGCTGATTCTAAAGTACACTTGGCTATTGTTCATACCTTTGGCAACCAAAAAATTTTTTTGAGCTTATTTAAAGTTTTACAAACCAAATAAATATCATTATTATTTTAAAAGTACAAAGATCATTTCAAGGCAAACATCATTCCCTAAATATTTTTAAAATTGATGCAGTGAGATGTTCAATATATATATTCAGCAAACAGACATGATTTTCATAATTATTCACAAATGTACATATGAGTTTTACAAATATTTTGACTGTTTTACTGGAATTGTAGTTCATTAAGATCATTCTTCACTGATTAGTTCCCACATAATAGATAGTAACTGATTCTGAATACTTGGTGAATAATTTTTAATGACTGAAATACTGTCTTTATTTATAGACAAATGTATTCAACCTTCTTCAGTGTTTAACATAGTAATTCAAATGCTTGATTTGAGCCAACATCTTTAGCTAAGAAATCTATAACTGTTATATGTACAGTAGATGGAAAATAAGGGTCCAAATAAATTCAATGATTATGAACAAGGGTTGGCACACAGACCTTCCTGTTAGTGGACAGTGTGTGGATCTCCTAGTAGGCAGTGTGAAAGAGACCTGCATGGGGAAATATTTCTTACATTTTTTAGAAGGCTACTTGCCTCTACAGTGACATTGACTTAGATTAACAAGTCAAATATAATTATACTGAGAAATTTGAGCTGTGTATTTAACTTTCGTTTTTGTATTTAATATTTGAAAATGAATAGAAAATTTTTGTATTTGAGACTCAGTAGGATATTCCTACTAGGGTTAATTCAAAGGCATATTTCCTTTAGCTTATTTTTAATTTAGTTGCAAGCTTTCAAGTTTGGCTTTAAAGGGAATATGTTGTCACTCATCCATTCACTATTTAGTAAGAATAAAACCTAACTTAACAGAGCATAGCTCATTACATCCAAATTAGAAACTTCTGGAAATACTTTCTTGGTTAGAAGAATTCCTGTATTGTATCCAGGTTGTAAAATAACTGACGTTATTTTTTCATCCACCAAATGCTCTACATTAAAATCTTAGATAAATGACTTTGAGTAGTTCATTGCTTATGAATTGACAGCATCATGTCTATTTGGGACTCACGCGGTTCTTTTTTCCACCTCAAAGCAGGAACAAGAGACAAGTTACACCATTCTGCGGGCACGAGGCACTAATGTTACCATCAGCAGCCTCAAGCCTGACACTACTTATGTATTCCAAATCCGAGCCCGAACTGCAGCCGGATACGGGACCAACAGCCGCAAGTTTGAGTTTGAAACAAGTCCTGATTGTATGTATTACAATTTCTTGTTCGAGAGGACAGGTGCTGCAAAAAGCATCTCATACTTTCACTCTTTCTAAGTATTAACTAAGAGTCATACATTGAGTGTATATTGATTAAGACCTTTAGCGATAGAGGCCAATCTATGTCTGTGTATTTGTGTCTGCATGGGTATACATTTAGGTTTTCTTTCCTTTTCTTTACAACCCAAACACTTTCTAGGCCTTGAAGTGCTTCTGGTTTTCTATTAGCCATAAATTGCTCTTGAGGAACATTATTTAATATGATTAAAAACCCTCAGTGCCTATAAATCCAGCTGTTCCAAGTTCATTGCATGATTCAATGAACTACAAAAAGGAAACTTAGTGATCCATGAGGATTTTAATTTTGTTTTAATTCTTAGCATATTCAGGCACACTTAACAGCAAATACAAAATTTCTAAAATGTGTTTTATTGTTCAATTTGCATTCATATATAATTTGGGCAGCCTGTCTCTTTGATCATGAGTTTGACTAAAATTGGCAAGTATTATTTTCTTAATAATCTTTCTTTAAATTCATTTACTTCTATTTAAAAATAACTTGGCCAAAATAGACTTAAAATAGAGTGTCAGGGGACTGGGGAGATGGCTCAGTGGAATAAGCACTTGCCTGGCAAGCGACAGAATGAGTTCAATCCCCGGTTCAAAAAAAAAAAAGAAAGAAAGCTTTTAAAAAAAACAGAGTTTCAGAAAGTAATGTCGAAGTAAGCATATGACGTTGCTCACTAAAATTCAAATCAAATTCTTATTTAACATATTTATGAAGAGGCATAAATGATTAGGACAAATTTTGAAGAGAATCATACATGTACATATTTCTGTGAAAAAATATATATGTGAGCAATTTCTATGTAGTTAGCATATTTCTACCCTGAAATTCAGTTTTAAAATAGCCTTGAGAGAGTCGGGCAGATAGTTTAGTGGATTAAAGTTCCTGTTTAGGCAGATGCAGGGACCAGGGATTCTATCCCCAGTGTGCCGTGCTGGCCCCACCCCAGGGGCTTATTGAGATGGTGATTGAGTTTGGGTGTGGTGGCACACACCTGCAATCCCAATGCTTGGGAGACTGAAATCAGGAGAATCAGTACCAGTCTGACCTGTGTAGTGAGACCCTGTAGAGCCATTACTAAATTAAAAAAAAAAAAAGAAAGAAATAGAAAAACAACCTTGGAACAAGATAAAAGGTGCATGCCCTTCAGAATCAGATTATGACTGTCAGGTCCAACAATTACCAGTGCTGTCTTGAAGAAGAAATCAGTAATCTCTTGACAATTCTAATTTGCCATTTTTTCAAGCTCCTATATTCTCTATTTTTAAGTGTTCTATTCCTAACATAAAATCACATTATTATTGGTAAGAGGATATTTTATGCCCCAATTTCTCACCCAGTAAGAGCATTCAGGATCGACAAAAAATGGAAAAAACTATTCCATAATTGATGTAGTGAACATGTTATGAGATGCTTTGTGTCAATTAGGAATAATGAATTCCTATTTTGAGATAATATTGAAAAATTATTTGTCCATTATGTTATAATAATGAGTTTTAACTTCTGCAAGGTACTGAGACTGTATAATTTTTGGGAGTTAACAGCTCACAGCAGAAATATAAAAATTCCTTTACATAAAGGAGAACTACCAACCGCAAACACAAAAATCTACATGTAAAGACTATGACTTTCCCTTGGATGGAGTGACCAAAGAAAAGCAGCAGGTTGAAAATATGAGAAATGAAACATAAGCTCTCGTTAAATATCTAAACTAAATTTTAAAAATTAGATGACTTGATGATATTTAATTGCTCCTTGGCATTAGTATTTCTAACTCTGCCGTATTTATGTTGCAAAGTTTTTTTTTTTTTAAACTATGACAAATTGAATTTTGTAAAGCAATAAAGGAGTGTTTGAATCATTAACTACAAGAGAACCAGTATTTGTTATACAGCAAAGGGTGCCAACTAAAACAAAAAGATGAGGCAAAACATTATGGTGTGCTGTGGTAGGAACTAGGCAACTGGAAGATGAGAAAGTGTAGCTACCCCTAGGTAAATACCTACAGTGTTGATGCAGATTTAGAAGATTCATCTAATATCATGTGATATGGACCAGCACGGAATGTTAAATGATCAATAATTTACAAAATAAACAACAAATTCCAAAGTTTTAACGCAAATCTAGATTTCCTACAGATAGTGCTGAGGTAACAATTATGCAGACTTTTAATGAGCTGTTAGGAAGGTGGGGCATATAAGAAAACAACTGTTTTGATCTTGAAGGTCTTGGGAGACAGAGAATTTGCTTAGCCTGCATGAGGCCTCCACTTTGATCAGTAACAGCACACAAGCAGATACACACTGTGTATACATGCACAGAGAGAGACTGTCAGTACATACAACCTGAATCCAGGGTTTGTGCTTTGCATTCGCGAAAGAAACAAATAAGAGTCGAAGGTGAGTCATTTGCAGCTGATGGGCACGTGCTCAGATGAACGTGACAGGTCAATCTAATACTCTACGCAGCAACTTCCCAGGTTTGTATGTGTAACTTGTGTACACTTCTAGGTTGGCGATGATTAAATCATTTGCTATTTAAAAAGTGCATAAAATATTACCTGGTATGGGGCTGGGAAGATAGCTTGGCAGTCTAAGCACCTGCCTGGCAAGTGCAAAGACCACCCAGGTTTGATCCTCAGTACCGCATGCCGTGCCAGCCCCGGACCCCTGGATGTGTCATGCTGGCCACTGAAACGGTGTGGTGGTGCATGCCTGCAGTCCCAGCGCTGGGGAGGCTGAGAGTGTGTCTGTGTGCAGCACATATGTGTGTGGCTTAGTTCATTTTGTGGTACTCCCATAGTGTACCTGAGAGTGACTAATTTTTAAGGAAAAGGAATTTATTTTGATTAAGTCGGGCAGGTGGGAAGCCCAAGACGAAGGTGCCGCTGCTTGGCAAGTGCCGTGTTCCTGTGTGTCTCCTTGGGATGGAAGGTGGCAGGTCAGGGGAAGAGGCCCTTTGGCCACCAGGCTCCGTTTCCCAGTAAAGCCACATTAGGGCTCAAGTTTCCAACATGGATTTTTGGAGGGGACACCATGGCATGCATGTGTGTGTGTGGTTTGTGCTTAACAAAATAGTCCATAACTGGAAGATTCAAAGAATTAAAATACATAAAAATCTGTGAAAAAGTTGAGCATTGCTGTTGGAGGATTCCATTCAATATTCCTAGCCATGAAACTAGCCCAAGGTCAACTAAATCAGAAGCCTAAGTGCCTCACACCTCCTCATCATTGTTTTTAAAGAATGTGCATCAGTTTGAATCTTTGGGGCCCTATTACTATGGTACATTAAAGCAGCCTATCAAAAGCACAATAGAATCACTATAAGAAAATTTTGTACACCAAAATACAGAATTTCACAGGGAATAGAGTACTTTTGCATATTTTGTGCCCATAGATCATATAATAAAACGGGGATGCCTATTTAGAATTCACTGTGTTTCTCATTGTTTTGAATATTTTAGTTGTATTAACTTATTTAATCTTCAAGCAGGGCCAGCCACGTAACTCAGCAGATTAAAGTGCCTGCAAGCAGGTGCAGGGGTCGGGTGTTCAATCCCCCGTTCTCCCATGCCAGGCCAGCCCAGCCCCCCCGGGTGCACTGAGACTGCAATCGAGCCTGGGCGTGGTGGCCCACACCTGGAATCCCAGCTCTTGGGAGGCTGTAAACAAGCAGGTCATTATGAGTCTGATCTAGTTGTGAGACCCTGAACACCCTGTGGACCCTTCCCTGAAATACAGAAACAGAAAATAATAATAAATAAATCTTCAAGCAACCAATTTACATCACATAGCACATGAGTATAAATCTAGGCGTATTTCAGCTCACTGGAAGGAGCTTGTGACTGTAGCTACTTCTCTTTATGGAGACAAAGTCCACAGTGTACATCTGGTGGGTTAAAATGGAGCATGATGTGGAACAGTGAGAAAAGTTGGTTGGAGGAAAATAAGTTAAAATTAAATTTTTAATGGTCAGTAATATACCGCATTAAATTATAAGATGCATATAGGGTATTATGCATTCAAATGTTTACTGATTTTACTAACAAAAAAGATCTAATTTGGTTATGGGTTTTATTCTCTGAAGTTCATAAATAGTTAGTGCTAGAAGAAACTATAGAGAAGTCCTAAATCCTATATTTAATTGAAAAAGAAACAGAGATTTTTTTTTTTCTCATATCCTTTCCTGTCAGTTTCATTGAGATTTCTTTTGTAAACTGTCCAAGCAAAATGACTGAGAACTTAAAACCTCTATAAATTATTACGCTATCCCCAATGAATAGTGTGCAATGGGCTTATTATCACACATCTATGGAGCATTCTTGAAATCCTGGGACAAGCAGTTTTTCCAGACAAGTCACAGGCTTACAGTCAAAAGATAGAGATGTACTAGGGCAGCTCCTCTGAGAAGCAAATACCCAAATGGAGTTGAACGAGCAAGGATTTTATTGGGAAATAACTGAGAAAGTAAAAGGTAGAAGGAGCTGTGGTAGGCAGAAGAGTCTCACCGCGAGACATGTGTCTGTGTATTCCTCCCAAACCGCATTGTGTCATAGGCTTTCGGAGGTAGCTGGATCTACAGTGTGTGACGCTCAGATTAAGTGTGTGATCCTAGGATCACGAGGGTGTGACTACTACACTAGCCCACTGCTTGGGTTCGCAAAGTTCTGGGTGTGGATAATGAGAAGGTCCACCCGGGTGGGAGTGCCAGCCACCTTAAGAGAACGTGGCCTGGACAGGACACAAGGGACAGGGACAGAATTGCTGCTGACCTCTGCTGCTGCACTGTGGCTACTTTGTTGGTTTTCTGCCATCTGCCCACACTGAACTCTTTCTTCTCTGGGATGTCCCTCTTCTAAGCCACCCTATCTTGGAGCCAGATATGGTGGACTGAAGCCTCTACAAACTGTCAGCCAGAATAAACCTTTCCTTCTTTAGCTTTCTGTTTGATATTTTGTCTAAGCAATGAGAAAAGTAACTAAGACAGACTTTGGCTGAGAGAAGTGGAATCATTGCTGTGACTACCTGAATATGTGGTTCACAAGACGCTTTGGAACAGGCCCGTGGGAAGATTTGGAAATTTCAGAGATGGTGGCTGAGAAGTAACCCTGGACTAACTTAAATTGTGCATAATGGGAGGCTCTGGTCAGAGCTTAGAAGATAAAAAGAGAAATGCTGCTCGTCAATACCTGTGTATGGAGTTTCTATTGGAATCAAGCTCTGCAGTGGGTGTTGGACTCCAGACCAACTTTATACCTGGCAGAAAGTGTGCCTGCATTTTACTTGAGCTCAGAGACTTGGCCTGAGTTCGAGGTAAAGGCCAGTGGGCTAATTAATACTGCAGAAGAAGTTCCAAGATAATCTAATGTTGAGTCAGTATCATAACTACTACAGGGCCTTTTAGCCAAATTTATGTTGAGAATCAAGAGCAAAAGCAGTCAGGAAAATAATTTAAAATGTTGAGGCCATGAGAAATAATGGGACAATGGAAAAGATGGCCTCATGATATCACAAGAAATAACAGGTCTCAAGCCTGTGCAGCCTCGAAGTTGGAAGTTTGACTTTGCTTTGAGAAAAGAACTCCAGAGCACCATGCTTCAGACTGGATGTGGACTAGAGAATTTGTTCCTTGGGGTTAGGACGAGAGTGTTCAGTGATTCCCAGCACTCAAGAGAGAAGGAAGTCTGGCTACTGCTGCAGATGGAGCGAACCTTGGCACAAGCAGTGTGGTGCTGGTTTTGGATACATAAAGAATATAAGAGTTGTGAGTTCAGGTTAATTTCCACCCATATTTCAGAAGAAGTCCTGAGGGGTCTGGAAGTGTTCCCTTGGGAGGGTAATGCGTGAAGCTATGTAAATCTCAAGGTACAGTAGGGAACCCAGGAGGTTGGAGAAGCCAGGAACATAAATCATGTGAGGGAAGTTGCAAGAAATGAGGCAAGTCGCCCCAAGAGAGAAACCTTGGGATGTATAACCAGCTGAAGTATTACAGGAGGAGAGTCACCAAAATTCTTTGATGTTCACATCTTGCAGCAGACTGTCTCAGATGCTGAGCATGAAGCTATGGGACAGAATGTTTGCCCTGCTGGATTATGAACTTGCTTTGATCCTATTTCTTTCCATTCCCTCTTTCTGGAATGGAAATGTCTATCTTGCAACATTGTGTGTTTGAAGTGTTCAACTTCCTGTCATTTGTACATGTGCTCACAGATAAGAGTTCCCCTTAAATCTCAGAGGACATAGAGTTGGACATTGCTGAAGCTGACAGGTCTTTGACACCTGTTGGAAATGGACTGAATGACTTTGCTCGTGTTAAGATGTACACACAAAACCTGACGCTGTCTCTGGTGAGGCTCTTCAGAGGTGGCTGGATCTACGGTGTGTGATGCTGGAATTAAGTGTACCTGTGATCCTGGGAGTCTGCGATCTCTTAGTCTGGCAATTGGTTTAGTATACTTCTGGGTGTGGTTAATGGTAAGCCCACCCTGAGTGTGTACGGCATATAAGGGAAAGAAAAATGGTTGTTGTTGTCCCAAGTTTCCACTTCTTTGCTGTTTCACTCTCTCTTATGCCTCTGCCTGCTACGGACTGTTTTGCCTAGCTAATGTCCCCTGCCACATCGCCCTGCCTTGGATCCAGCAAATTATGGACAGAAACCTCTACAAACTGTGAGCCAAAATAAAGCTTTCTTTGGTGACTGGGTGTTCTGCCTCAGCAATGAGAAAAATAACTAAGACATTTTCTCATCTATGAAAAAAAAAAAAAAAAAAGGAAAAGAAGAAAAGAATGAGAAGGAAGAACATCATAGAGCAGTGCGGTTCCTGAGAGTCTCGGCTGTCCCAGTGTGGGGCACCCATGTGCAGAGAGACCATTTCCAAAATCCTGTCTGGGACAAGCAAGGCTCGAGTCTAGGGCCTCAGGCCGTGTCTACTTAGTAATTCAGGGAAACCTGGCCTATGCCTGTCGCCTGAAGTGAGCCTTTGAGGTGCAGCTGGTGGCAGCCTGTTCTCTGGACTTTTTACAGCAAAGATATCTGATCCAACTCTTTCATGACTGCTACAGTAGTGTAAAACTAGCTAGTAGTACAGAATAAATCACTTGTACCATTTCATATGAGGCCGTGCCGTGCGGGCTCGCTCTTAGTTCCCTTTTGAGATGCTTTGCAGATTTGTGATAGCCGCTCTTCTCCTGTTTCTTCTCTTGCATTTTTTTAATCTATCCTTTAAATTATCTATTTCAAAGAAAATGTTACAAATTCAGATCTATTTAGGTTAAAGATGATTTAGTGGTTCCTAGTGAGGTAATGGTATTCAAGTAATTAATATGCTTTTCTTTTCAGTCACAATTTGTTTATTCAATTAGCATTCACTGCAAAAACAATATATGCAAATATAAGCATGTGATGGGGCAGTACTAGGAATTGTTTGATTTTTATTTTTTTGTGGAGCCAGGAATTGAACTCAGTCCCTTGAGCTTGTCAGGGAAGCACTTATTCCACTGAGCCATCTCCCCGGCCCCTTGATTTTTAGAAAGAATAGTGACTGGGGGATCAGGGAGACAGCTCAGTGGCATGAGCACCTGCCTGTAAAGCACAAGGCCTAGGTTTGATCCTCAATACCAAAAAGAAAAAAAAAGTACAATGATTTTAATGCCTATGGATTTTATAACAGATCAGGCTAAGGATTTAGACAGCAAGCTAATCCTAAGTGGCTGTACGTTAGCCTTGTAAAATTTGCATTTCATTTTAAAAATCACAAAGTAACTTGCAAAGATTTTATGCATACGAATGATTGTCAAATTCATATTTTAAAAGGAGTACTTAGGTAGCAAAGTGAAAGATTATCAAAGGCATATGTATGGAAACCAATTAGGAATTTCTGATTAGATCCGAAAGAGAAATAGCAAGGGCTGGCTAAATAGCTCAGTGGATTAAAGCACCTGTAAGCAGGTACAAGGACTGGAGTTCTATCCCTGGGCCTGCAGTGCCAGCCCTGCCCCTGGAGCACGCTGAGACACCAGTTGAGACTGGGTGTGCTGGCATGCTCCTGTAATCCCAGCTCTTGGGAGGCTGTAAACAGGCTGATCACTACGAGTCTGATTTAGTAATGAGACCATAAACACCCTGTAGACCCTTCCCTAAAGTACAAAAAAAAAAAAAGAGAGAGAGAGAGGAGAGAGAAATAGCAACATGAACTAGTATAAGAAAGGGAGTTTGATGTTTCACTAAGAGGAGCATGATCAGGAGAGAGGGAGCACAAGGCTGCTTTTTTCCGAAATCCCACAAATCCGTGTTTGCACACTGAACTTTGAGAAGCACCAGTGTGGTGAGGGTCTGGTGAGGAAAGAGCCAGGTACATACTTTATTCTTCATGCATTTGCCCTGTCTGTTGCTACTGCCCCCTCTAGCGTAAAATCAGCCATACACAAAGAATGTTTCTATTCCAGTAAAACACTCTTTATGAGCAATAAAATTTGAATTTCATAGAACTTTCATGTCGCCAAACTTTGCAAGTTTTTTTTTCTTTTTTTTTTACAACCATTAAAAAATGTAAGATCTTTGTAAGTTCATGAGTTCTACAAAAAGTATTGGCTGGTCAGATGCTGCTTCAGGGCTACTTTTATTGACTTTCTGAATGAATAATAAGGCCATTAAAAAAGGCTAGAAATGTAGACGGAGTTTGTATGCGGTGTATGGTGAAGTCTGTGAAGCTAGTTTTTACTTTTTAACTTTGCCTTTGTCATTGACAAAATAATAGTCTATGTTTATGGAGTACAATGCTAAGTTTTGAGAAATACACACACTATAAATGACTATAATAAAACTAATTAGTATATCTATCACTTTCTTTTTTGGAATGAGATCATTTAAAAGCTTGAAATAGTCAATGTTATTATTAACTAGACGCACGTTGCCTTGTACCAGATTTTGAAAACTTATCCTGTGTAACTGACATTTTGTACCTATTGTTAATTTTCATTCTCATCCCCTGTCCCAGTTCTGGTAACCACAAATTTCTTCTCTACTTTTATAAATTGGACACTTTGGGATTCCTCTGAGAAGGGATACCAGGAAGCATTTGTCTTTCTGTGTTCAGTCTATTTCACTTACCATGATGTCCTGGAAGGTCATTCTTCCTGCAGCAATTGAAGTTTTAAAAATAAGTACAGATATAGGGGCCAAATAAAAACTCATTGGAAAGGATTTATACTTCTGCACTGGGAAGTATTTATTTGTCCAGTGTATTCACCTGATAACTTCTGGTTTATCCCATGAGTGTCTTGTCAAACAGAACAAAGACAAATCAAGCATATTTACAATAAGCAGTCAAATATCATTAATTGATGGCTCAAAACAGAGTGTTGGGCTGGGGAGATAGCTCAGTAGAATAAGTACTTGCTTGGCAAGTGCAAGGTCCTGAGTTCAATCCCCGGTACTGAAAAAAAAAAATTCCAAACAAACAAACAAATAAAAAATAAACAGCAAAGAAAAAACAAACAAAAAATACCCAAAAACAAAACAGATTGTTTGCTGTTCAATAGTAACAATTTTAATTGTGAATTGGGCAAAACTATGAAGCAAAAAGATTGGGATACCATTAGAATAAATAATTTGTCAACATTGTAGTGAACTTAAGCCACAATTTGGCAAAAAGTAGAATATGAGAGATTTCTAAGGTGTGCCACATACATCCCAGTGCTGAGGGGTAATTTTTTTTTCTTGTGTTCTCTCTTGGCGCTCACAGCATTCTCCATCTCTGGTGAAAATAGCCAAGTGGTAGTGATCGCCATTGCGGCGGCAGTAGCAATTATCCTCCTCACTGTCATTGTCTACGTGTTGACTGGGAGGTGAGTTTCTGGTCTGTTTTATTATAGGTTTTCATTATTGCTCTGGTCACTGCTAAAATTTGTAGCGGTCAATAAAGTTTATTAACAAATAAAAGTGTCTCCATTTATATTCTGGGCCCTTCGTTTTGCATTTCCCTTTACTTTTTCAGTTTAGTTTTGTTTCTCTCCATTAATTCCTGCACTCACCCTTCAATATACCACTTTCCTCTTTTGACCCTACTCCAAGTTTCTACCGTCTTTTTCCAATTATCCCCTCACTTTGCAAATAAGCCCAGATTTCCTTGACACTTTCTCACCCCAAACACAGGCAAAAGTGCCCAGCAGTAATCATTACCAACAGAGACTTTGCCTTCATTCATTCAAACAGTAGTTGTTAAAAATACTATAAACACATTCGAAGGCCATTATAAAACCTGAACTAGAGGGCTCTGCTCAGTAGGGGAGCAACTCTATGTGGCTCCTCATTAGGCAGTTTTCCAGAGTCCCCAGGAAAAGAGATTTCCCACTGAAGATTTAGGAACCATGAAGTCAATGAACTTTCACTAAAGCATTTAATTGTTTGAGAAATGAGCTTTACATGTCGTGCCTTGCATAGTTCGAATGGACACAACTGTTTTAAGTATAATCTCCTTATGTTCTGTCTTCCCTTGATTTACCTCTAGGTTCTGTGGCTATAACAAGTCAAAACATGGCGCAAATGAAAAAAGACTTCACTTTGGGAATGGACACTGTGAGTTTCCTAACTTTGTTTTGTCTCAACATTCTACTTATAGCCCTTCTTGATTTCTAGTTGGCTAACTTCCCCTTGATAAAGAGAATTCAAAGAAGTTTTATGGAAAAAAAATTGGGTAAATTAAATTTATTTTAAAAGGAGAAGGAAATTCATGGCTCTGCATTAAGTAATTTTTGCATGGCTCCATTTCAGCATACCTAACGGGAAGGGCAGCCTGTGGTTTATGTTCTAATAATGCACACGATGAGTACTACGAACTCTAGTCAGCTCTGCATGGCTGAAACGCAAAGCGTGGCTTCAATTTCCTTATTACCAGGTCTTTGCTAAAATCTAAATAGACTTTTCTCTTTCATAACCTCCAAGTAAATATAAACAAACTCTGTTTATGTGAAATGCCTTCTCCATTTTGTCAAGCAACCAGGAAAGAGTCTTTAGAATAAACTGTTTGTTTTGGAGTTACATGATATCCAGCTGGTAGGAAAGCCAGCACTTTTCCTCCCCATTTTAATACCAACAAATTTAGTCCCTTTTAATATTTTCTAAAAGAAATGCTCTTTTAGAAAATAACTTGTTTACATCTAGTAAAAAGACTCATTTTTTTCCATGACTGAGACAAATCATTCCAGGTGTTTTGTTTTTCCCAACTATAGCTCAGCTCAGTGTGGCAATTATGAGTCAGTGGTCTTAAAAGAATGGCATGTTCTTGTGGAAATTAGTACAAAGACGAAACTCAAGCTCATGTGCTCCAAAATATCTCAACAATTAATGTGGTCTTGTAATCATTACTTTTTTGGCATTCACTGTTGCCATTGAAAATTGTTTTCAAATCAACATTGAACTTCCTTGCAGTCATTGGATATGCATCTAAAGATAATAACTTTGGTTATAACTCAAGTAAAAGTCTTGATTGACTTTTTGTTAACATAAAGGAACTATGTAGTATCTAGAAAGGAGAGAGAGAGAGAGAAAGAGAGAGAGAGACAGAGAGAGAGAGAGAGAGAGAGAGAGAGAGAGAGAGAGAGGAAGAAAAAATATTATTCAAAATGTAAACTG